ACCAGCCTTCACCCAGGAGTCCCCCCAGAGTGGGCTCATGAGAACAAATGATGCTCCTAGTGCTTTTATGACTTAGGAATTTACGAGGGTTTTAGGTCCCTGTGTCAGGGACAGGGTCGAAGACCAACTATTAGAACAAGATATGCTCCTACTGCTTGTATCACGTAGGACATTACAAGGGTTTTAAAAGCTCTGTGTCAGGAACAGGGTTGCAGGGGGAGACAAACATATCTATTTCCTATTATCTCACATCATCTATTCTCCTTAAAAACCCGAGGAGGTATGTACAGTTATTTCCATCCCTCTTTCACAGCTAAGGGAACTGAGAAGCTGAGTAACGTACTCAAAGTCACCCAGTTAGTAAGCAGCAGGGCCAGGTTTTGAACCCAGGCAGTCTCCCGTTGGTGGCCACACTTTGAACCAATCCTCAGCTTCCCCTCCACTACAGCAAGGGGAATTAATGCGTTTCGTTCAGCGGAATGTCACATTGCTAAGGCTCCCAGCACACAGCCAGCAGTGGGACTCACACCTCATTCTTCCAAGACCTCAGCATAGCAAAGCCATGAGTCATCACCCTCCCTCTGCTAAGCATTAACTTTTCCACTTGAGTGGGCTCCCAAAACCTCGCTGGCTTCCCTTTCCAAACTGCAGCATGACCCTACCATCAGCTTCTGCCTGGACCCGTGAGCTCTGTCTGTGGCCCTTCTGTGGGGCTCACGCCCCCTCACTGGGCCTGAGTCTGATGTCACTAGCAGCTGTCCTGGTTTCCTCTCCCACACTTTGATGTTGAGCCCACTCACCCTCCCCTCATCCACAGACACCTCTCAATCTTCCTCTCTGGTTACAGTACAAGTGCTCTTGAGAGAAAGAGGATCCGTGCAAAGGATTTTTCAGCAGGCGGAGGTGGGTAAAATGGCTTCTGCCCACACTTACAGCAGCTTCCCCTAAATATCTACCTACAAGGGCCAGGCTGTGCTTTCTACTGCATGTCTACATCCTTAAGACAGCCCTGCAAGGTCAGCATTCTCATCCCCATTTCACCGACAAGGAATTGAGAGAAGCTGGTTAACTTGTCTAAGGTCACCCAGCTAATAAGGAAACAGCCAGAAGCCGAACCTACATCAGGTACCAAACCTGAGCGTGTGTTTGCTACCACACCACAGTGCCTCATTGGAAGCTGCCAGAAACATTGGATAAAGAAGACACATGAGCCAAAACCGGTTTGGCTCAGTGGATAGAGCATCGGCCTGCAGACTGAAGGGTCCCAGGTTCGATTCCGGTCAAGGGCATGTACCTGGGTTGCGGGCACATCCCCAGTGGGAGATGTGCAGGAGGCAGCTGATCGATGTTTCTCTCTCATCAATGTTTCTAACTCTCTGTCTCTCTCCCTTCCTCTCTGTAGAACATCAGTAAAATATATTTTTTAAAAAAAAAAGAAGACACATGAAATGAAACATCCACTCAAAGTCCTGATTTTACTATCTAATTTAATATTCATTAGTGTGATTACTTAATTAGTGACTCTCTGTACTATAAACTCAGTAGAGAATTGTATTTTTAAAAGATAACTGTTATATCTTCAGTACAAAAAGCGATACCTGGCATAAAACAGTTTGTTAATAAAGTACTGATAAACAAATAACTGGATGAATTGTTACATAGTAAGAACTCAATAAACTCATAGTGAGGACCATGGGGTAAAAAGAGAAAATGCATAAATATCATATGTGGCTTGGCATCCTTGGGAGTTCGATCACTTGCTCTGACGTGCGCTGACCACCGGGGGTGGTGTGGAATGAAAGAAGGCCTTGGTCGGCAAGGCAACCAGCAGTTGGGGAAGGGAGGCCCTAGCTGGCTGCCAGAAGGAAGGCCTCGGGCAACCAGAAGGCCCCGATCGGCCCTGATTGCATCAACAGGGGCAGACGCTCTGACTGGTAGGTTAGCTTGCTGCTAGGGTACAGCCAATCAGGAATGAGTGAGACGGGCCGGACACACCCTAGAGCTCTCCCACAGTCCCTCCCTTGCTGGCCAACCTCCCACATCCCTCCTTGACCCCAATTGTGCACTGGTGGGGTCCCTCGGCCTGGCCTGCGCCCTCTCACAATCCAGGACCCTTTGGGGGATGTCAGAGAGCCGGTTTCAGCCTGATCCCCACAGGCCAGGCTGAGGGACCACACCAATTGGAGGGACCCTGCTCACTCCGCAGATGCCCTGTGAGCCACG